CGTCGTTTTCAATCCTCTTAGTTATTAAAAAAAAAAATTTAAATCGGGCCTGCCCCGTATTTTCGCGCCGCAGGATTGAAAGGGTGGCTACGTCCCTGCATCCACCCACACAGACAATTACAGAGATCGTAAACTATGGCTTCCGATTCCTCTCGGGCCAACACTCACGGCGGTAATTTTTCCTTCTCTTTCTCTCATTATGTGTGTATTAAGAAAGCAAGTACTTTTGTAGATTTGAATCTGTATTTTTGCTTAGATTGATTGGATAAATTTTGAATTGCAGCACCATTGTCGCCTGATAGTTTGGCTTCGAGTCCAATCGGCAATACATTTTCTTCTCCCGGTGATTCCAGGCGCCAGAAACGTGGCCGGCGGTCTTCATACACTACTCCGCCACCGCCGTCGGACGATGCCCCGCCTTCCTCTGATGTTGGCGATGGAGATGATATAGATGAGGCCCCGCCTATGTATGTTTGGGGCACTAATATCAGTGTTCAAGATGTGAATGCAGCTATTTTGAGGTTTTTGAGGCATTTTTGTGAAAATCCACACCAGATTGAAGGGAAATACATGCAGGCTATTAATCACGTAATTGAAATCGAGGGCGATGTTGATGCGCAGGATGTTTACGATTATGATAGTGATCTTTACACCAAAATGGTTAGGTACCCACTAGAGGTTTTAGCCATTTTTGATATTGTCTTGATGGATATGGTCAGTAGAATCCATCCACTATTCGAGAAGCATATACAAGCTAGGATTTTTAATCTCAGGAGCTCGATTTCAATGAGAAATCTCAACCCATCTGGTTAGTTTGAGGTGTTTTGTACCGTTTTCGGTGTGTCAATTTTCTGTCTTATACTGCCTTCTGCTCTGACCAGATATCGAAAAGATGGTGTCCATAAAAGGGATGATTATCCGGCGTAGTTCGATTATTCCTGAGATCAGGGAAGCCGTATTTAGATGTCTCCCTTGTGGTTACTACTCTGACCCAATTGTTGTTGACAGAGGAAACTAAGAATGGACTTTTCCCTTTGCTCTTTTGCATCTGATATTACCATGCTCTTTTGTTTTTGTTTTTTTTTTTGGAGGGTGTTGAGGCTCGAACCCTGGATCC